GGTTTCTGTTGCGGCAATCAAAGCCACAAGTAGCTCTGAGCACCAGCACACATGGAGAGAATGCAAATACAGCTGTGCTCCTGTTTATGGAAATAGCACGGGGCGTATCTGTACTTGGTTTGAAGAGTTAGCACAAATAGCCGCATTAATAATTGCTGCGAAATACGCAGTGTTCTCATTTCAGGTGCCCCAGTAATGTCTAGACCTACTGTGATTGCAGTTACAGTTCAGAGAGCACCCACGGCCTCACAGAAACCTTTTGTTCCTGTGTTCATTCATTATGGTCCACTCTGGGACCACTGATCAGGAAAAGCTCTTAGCTGGGAGCTCCTGATCTGTTACTCCACATTTGGTGTTCATTGGGTGTGTGTGAGCCAAGAGCAGCAAGTTACAATACAAGGACTTGAGCTAGCAAGGGCTTTGGCAGCTTCAGTCTGGATCCAGAGATGGAGACAGCTCATTCCACCTTGGCTCATCTCCAGCATCATCCCACCAATCCCAGTGACAGGTCACCATTTTAACAAAGGTGAATTCTGACCACTTTGTCCCACTGCCACTCCAGTCCATGCTGTCTTGTCCTAATCCATCTCCTGGGAGCTGAGGTCCAGCACTCATGGGTGCTGCTGAGCTTGGAGCACAGGAGGGATGGGGGCCACCACGCCTTATGTGCTGGAAATCCCAGAGTCTCTGTTCTTGGGTCAAGGCCTCCCCTCCTTCAGGTTGTGTTGGAGTTTGGTGTCTGGCCATGGCAGCTACACTGGAGAACCTGTGTGAAGGGTGACCCTCACAGGGAACATTGGGTACCTGATCCATGAGAAGAGCTTCTCCAGCACGTACTGTGGTAATGATGACAGAGCAGTGCTCTGTCCTCCTGTGGGGACATGGGATTGATGTGCCAGCTGCACAAACCCTCCCTATGATTGGACACTGGAACTCTCAGACCTGAGATGGTTCCACTCAGACCCTGCTTCTCTCACTGTGACTTTTGGAGCCACCTTGAGCCAGAGTGACAAATGGGCTCTCGGCTGTTCCATTCTTCCGAAATTCATCCTGAGCAACTGCTTGAAAACTTCACCATTCAAAAGTTTCACTTCCCAAATAGTGCTGTGCTATAAATACCCTGTGCAGTGGGATATGACATTTACTCCCACACAAGACACAAGGCTTTGTAACTTGCAAACTCCTTAACCCTTGAGTGAACACAAGGTAAGGAGTTTGTGGGACAGACTTGTGCTGCAGTCTGCGAGCTGCTGTGGCCTGTTGGGAAGGAAACAGGAGGGGAATTGCACACAGACTTACTGCAGTTAGACTGGAAAAACTCACTTCTTCCAGCTGCTTGCACACCACAGAGTGAAGATGTTGCTTTAGGAATATTAGTGCTTTATTCCACTCTTATCAATTGATCTTGGAGCACTTTCCTGTCCAAACCAAAGAAGTACTAAAGTTAGTTTGCTTTAATTTCTGATTCTGCAACTGATTTATGATCCTTGACAAATTTCTTAGTTCCTTGGTTTCATTTCCATATAAAACAAATGGTAACTGCTTCTCTCTTGTTCTTTACATGTTGTGTATATAAATCACGGAGTAATGGAATAGTCTGGGATGGAAATCCAAAATGAGATGGATAGCCCATCCACTTCCACCCCTTGCCATAGACAGGGACACCTTCCACTATCCCAGGGTGCTCCAGGATTTGTCCAGCCTTGCCTTGGACACTTCCAGGGATCCAGGGGCAGCCACAGCTTCTCTGGGCATCTTGTGCCAGGCCCTTCCCACAGGGAGCAATTTCTTCCTTATAATAGAATCAGAGAATGGTTTAGCTTGGAAGAGACCTTAAAGGTCATATATGAGATAGATAGATAGATAGATAGATAGATAGATAGATAGATAGATAGATAGATAGATAGATAAAATAAAGACTAAAGACATATACTAGAAATTCAACCATTAGGCTCTGTGTTTGTCAGGTGCACTGACTGAAGTGCTGGGGTGCTGATGTTTCATAAATATATTATAGAAATATATAAATATCCTCTCTCTCTCTGTATATATATGTCTCAATGGGCGTAGGTTTGTAATGTTTGTATTTTTCCTGTTGAGAAAGAGCTGAAGTCACCTAGATGGGTAGATTTTAAAATGAGTGGGTCATCTTATCTCATCCCCTTGCATAACCTCACCTCAAGCAAGGTGTGTGTCAGGGCAAGTCAAGAGCACAATTATCAGAGCAGCCCAGTGCTGCTGCTGCTCCTCTGCAGGCAATGCAGCCCAAGGTTTTAAATGTGTGCGATGTTGGCATGTGTGTGTTTGCTGCTTAAAAGACTTTGCAGAGAGGGTTAATGTGAAACTGTGTCTGGGAGGCTTAGGTTGAGATCAGGAGAAACCTCTTCCCCCCAGAGGATGCTGGGCACAGCCCAGGCTCCTCAGAAAACGGGCACAGCCCCGAGGCTGCCAGAGCTGCAGGAGTGTTTGGGCAACGCTCCCAGGGATGCACAGGGTGGAATTGCTGGAGTGTCTGTGCAGGGCCACAGGTTGGACTGGGTGATTCTTGGGGGTCCCTTCAAACTTGGGATATTCCATGCTTCTATGAGAGAATGTCTTGGGATAGTCATGGCTCCATAAGAGAAATTAATCCTAGCATTGGAAATGGACTGCTTTCATCTCCCTGGGGTGGGGGATATGAAAACAAACAAATTCAGGTCTTTATAGAATGGGTTTGATTCTCATTCTGATCTCAGTTCCATGACATAGATGTGTTCCCTCCCAAAGTGCTTGTGCCAGTGAAAATGCCTCAATGGCTTCCCAAAGTTTTTCATCAGCTCTTCTAAATGCCAAGCAGTTCCAATTAATCAGAGATTGGCCCTGCAGGGAATACGCCGCTGCACAGCTTCCTCTTCTCTTTGCCAAAACACGATCCAGCCGCTTGTGTTCCTGAGCAAGTTCTGCTTTCGGCTCTCGGTGCGGCGCTATCGCCAGGAAACACACGGCAGGCAGGGCTCCCCTGCTGCGTGTCCTGTCGGGAGCAGCAGCGGCCGCAGGGAGCGGGGCCAGAGCTCCTCGTGGCTGCTCATTTATGGGCAGGAGGATCAAGTAAACATTGATTTTCCCTCTCTGCTGTGAGCTCAGCTGGGGATTTCAGACCTCCTCTGACCGATTTATGTGGAGCTGAGTCTTGATCAGATTCTGCTGCAGAGGAACTGGCCCTGCCTTTATCAAAGAGGAAATGAGCACTGGGAAGATAAAGCTGAGATTATTAAAAGTAGCCTCTGACATTGGGTCATGAGTGCTCAGTTTTAGGAAATTTGAGCATTCTTTTTCTTGTAGATTGCAGGATTTCTCAGATTGTGATGATTCCTTAATGGCTTTCCAAACTCAGCTCCCTAAAAATCACTTTTCTGGGAGTCACAGGTTGCACTACAAACAGATGTCACTCACCTCAGATACTTAGGAGTGTATTAGAGAATGAGCCCCAAATCTTTGTTACAATATTACAATAGGCATGTGGTGGTTTTCCTTTAAAGCCTCAATTCTGATAATTAAGCAGTAAATGAAAAATTCAAATACTGCTTTTTTAAAAAGAATTGTTAATATATAGTTTGTAGATTCATCAGGTTCATGAATTGTGAGAAGCTGAGAAGCTGATATTTCTATTTGATTGAATACTCTTTTTTTAACTGGTGACTCTTAATCCAAAAAGGGCAATACTTTCCTCCCAGGGAGCTGGTTCTAATTCAACTCTTTGTACCAGTTTGTCAAAAATATGTCCCAGGTACAACCTTTACTCATTAGCACTTTGATTTATGTCCTTTTGGGAAGGAAAAGTGTGCTGGATTTTGTGACCAGCATCTCAAAGGACTTAATCTTTGCTGATGTGTAGAGATCAGGGATGAGAAGTCAATGGAGATGCCTGTGCACAGTATTTATGGAGTTTTCATACTCCATGGAGTATTTCAGCAGCAGGAGAGGCCAGTGCTGGCATTCCCTGCAGGTTTTGTTCTGTCTACAAAGAGGACTTTGTCCCTAGATAGCTGCCTTGGTCATATCCTACTGTGGTTTCACTATGAGCAGATAAAAAGTTTGCTGCTATTGTCGTACGCAGCTGAGCTGAGAAGTGCCAGGCAGGGTCCAAAAGCCACCCTGGCTTGCTGGGATTCCAAGCTGAGGTGTGCGTGTCATTCCAAAATAACCCACAGCTTGTTGCAAGCAAGACACCTGGAAAAAGGAATTTGGCTTTATGTTTCAGCTGAGCGAGCTGAGCTCCCACTGCAGGGTTATGGCAGCACTTCACAAAATCACAGACTCATTCATGTCGGAAAAGACCTTTAGGATCATCAAGTCCAACCATCAACCCTGCACCGCTACCATGGTCACCACTGAAGTATGGCATGAAGTGCCACAGCCACATGTCCTGGGCAGGCTGTGCCAAGGCTAGACAGCCCTTTCTGGGAATAGCTTTTCCCTAATATCCAACCTAAACCTCCCCTGGTACAACCTGAGGCCATTCCTCTTGTCCCATCTCTTGTTACCTGGGAGAAGAGACTGATCCTTACCTGGCTGCAGCGTCCCAGTTTTGCAGGGCTCTCGTGTTGGACAGCACTGGGTTTATTCCCTGCATCTGCTTTGTTCCTTCCACAGCAGAACACGTCACTCACTGGACAGGCTGGGAACAGGCAGGTTTGATTGCAAGAATCAATCCAGTTAGCAATTTTTAAAGGCCACAGGATGAGGACACAAATTGAGTGGTTTACTTGGGTTTCAGAGTCTCCTCTTCCCCAAATTGCAGTACTCTGTAAATCATAGAACCATGGAATGGTTTGTGTTGGAAGGGACTTTAAAAACCATCTCATTCTACCCCTCTGCCATGGGCAGAAACACCTCCCACTATCCCACATTGCTGAAAGCCCTATCCAACCTTCCAGGGAACTATAATATATGAATAAATGGTCATTTATATATATGAATAGTCATTCATATATATGTCCAAATATGACCATTTATATAAATACATATGACCAATAATGACCCAATGTATTAATAAATTACCATTTTCATGTCCATTTCTCTCCGTCCTCAGTCGAGAGGGAGGGCAGGGAGGTGAACAACATCACATCCGTGCTCCTGCATCTTAGACAAGACTTTGTCATCATACTGGGGCTGATTGTTGCTGGACAATGAAGCCACAGGCTGGAACACCTCTCCTATGAGGACAGACTGAGAGAGCTGTGGTTCAGCCTGAAGAGGAGAAGGATCCAGGGAGAGCTCAGGGCCCCTTCCAGTGCCTAAAGGGTCTCCAGGAGAGTTAGAGAGGGACTTAGAACAAGGGATGGAGGGACAGGACAAGGGGGAATGCTTCCCACAGCCAGAGAGCAGGGATAGATGGCATATTGGGAAGGAATTACTCCCTGTGAGGGTGCTGAGGCCCTGGCCAATGTTGCCCAGAGAAGCTGTAGCTGCCTCTGGATCCCTGGAAGTGTCCAAGGCCAGGTTGGGTGGGGCTTAGAGCCACCTGGGATAGTGGAAGTTGTCCCTGCCATGGCAGGGCATGGGACTGGGTGGTGTTTCAGGTCCCTTCCCACCTAAACAATTCTGGGATTCCGTGGTTTACAGGATCCCAGGGATAGGTGTGCAGGGCTGGCATTACCTGGAGCAAAGCCCCAGCACAGGGGCTGAGGGAGGCGGCTTTGGGCAGTGTGGGGTGACCTGGGTGTCAGACCCGGCTGCGTCTGTGGGCAGGGCGGGGGCTGCCCTGGGCTGGGGCTTTAGGCACGGTGACCAGAGCCCACTGTCCCTCCACTGCTGGTCCCTTCCTGGTCAGGCTGAGCTCAGCCCTCATCCCCTGCTCACACTGTGGTGAAGCAGCAGGGCTGGCTCCAGGACAAGGCGTTGGGAACCCCTCTGCTCCCAGCACTGCAGATGTGGACTTTGGAACAAATCTCAGATGGACAAACAGCGTGGGACGGAGCCCACACAGCTCCAGGCATTTCAGCTCTGCAGTCGCTGTCCAGTGCCAGAATGTGGGATCTTGTTGCGAAACATCCCGAGTTCCGTGTCTGCCAGGTGTGCGGGGTCCCCTGCTTGTGCACAGCCTCTCACCGTGTCGGGAAAACCTGCCCCAGCTTCCTGGAATCCCTGCTCAACCTCCTGCCCGGCTGGGATGCTCCGAGCCCTCACACAGGGTGGGCAGCAGGACTCGCTCCCCGCGCCGGGCACGGACCCAGCGGAGTGGAACAAGAGCAGAGGAAATCCCGAGAGCGCCGGCACAGGCCGCCCTGCGGGGGCTCAGCTGTCGGCGGCTGTTGAGCAGTTTTCCCTTCTGGAATGTCTCCTTTCATCCCAGCCTCTGGCCTCCACCTGAGCAGTCTGAAATCCCGAACAGCCGAACAGCTCTTAGCTGAACCCCAGCAGCTGCTGCCTGTGTGAGGCACTTCTCCACCGGTTCTGCCCGGTGCTCATCGCCTGCCTTGCGAGGAGGTCGGCACAGCTCCATGTTCCCATGTCCCCACCTCCTCCGAGCCGCTCCCGGAGCTGCCCAAGGGACGTGGAACTGCCATGCTCAGTATCCTCGAGCAGATTTCTTTACCTGGCTGCTACATCCCGTTCCCAGGTTCCTGTCCCACTCCAGGCTGCCTGAACACCTCTGCCACCACCTGGGACCTCACTGGCACTGTTTACAGTTCTAATGCCAGTCACTAATTTTCTCTGATTGGAAAGATGAGATAATGTTGGAAATGCTCACAAATTTTCTCCTGTTTCTCATCTGTGGTGGGAAGGGCTAATGAGAAACAGAAAAACAGAAAAGCAAAGGCTTTTCTCTTCCTCCCATCTACAATCCTGCTAGAGACATTCCAGCTCCAGAGATTTAGTCAGTGTTGACTCTGGGTATCCTGATGTCCCAAGCCTCCCACACAGCTCCTTAGTTCAGTGACACCTCCCTTGATGCTCTCTCCCTCAACTCTGTTGATCTCCTGCTGTTAAAGTCCATCCATCATCCATTCACCGTACATCCACCATCCCTCCCTCCCTTTATTTCCCAGTGATCTCCCTGCCCATAGACAGAAATCCCTCACAAACCTCAGAGCTTTAACTCCCTCTTTATGATTAATTTTAACTTCCCAGGAGAAGGATGATCTTGGTGGAAGGAGCCCAGCTTGGTGTGGTCCTCATTCCTGCTGTTATGTGTGAAGAGAGATGGAGAGAAATACATCCAGAAGCCCAGAGATGGTCATGGAACACGGGCAACATGTCCAAAGTAATCCCATCTGCAGGAGCCTACAAGAAGCCATTCTTCCTCCTGGAGCCTAAAAAGGAGAACGATTTCCTTTACCAGGTTTGACAGCAAGATGTGGGGGTCACTGGGGAGATAGGCACAGACAGATCCATCAGGGCTGAAGGCAGGAGAACCACAATTAATATTAGGTTGCACAGCCTAACACTTGGGAGTATCTTTGCTTTTCTAACACCAAAAACGTCCCTTTACCAAAGAGCCTGAGAGCTCACAGGCAGCATTGTCTGGGCTGAGAAATGCAGGGTCTGTGAGACACCTTCAGTGCTGTGACAGTAAATCCTGGTAAGAACAATTCAGCAGAAGCCTGGTCAGCCAGAGCCCAGGATGGAGCAGGGCATGGCACAAAGTCAGTTTTACACAGACCCCTAAAGCAGCAGTTATCCAGCAATAGCAGCTGGCTCAGCCTTGGCTATGGAAGTTTATTAAGATAAAACAGAGTCTGGAATTTCTAAGGACATTAAACTAGACTGTAAAAAATATGTAAAAATGGAAATGGGCTAAAAATTCCAACAGACATTTGATAATAATCCAACACAAAAAATGCTTGTGATGCTTTAAAGGGAATTATGTAATAATCTGGCCAAAATAACAAAGCCTTTAAAGCATCCTGTTGGATGGAGATTCCACCTGGAGGTGGGATCCATAGAGAGATAAAGAGGACATTCAGCTAAATGTCAGAGGCAAACATGGAGCTACCTCCCTGTGATTGCTCCTCTGGGACTGGGCTCCCACAGCCCCACAGATGGGCTCCTGCAGCACTGGCACAGGTTGTCCAGAGAAGCTGTGTCTTGGTTTGAACAGACAGGTGTCTGTTAAGGAAGGCAGGAGCCTCCCTTCAAATGGAAAATGTAAACCCCCTCCCTCCAAATTAATATACTTTTGGAATTAAGGGGCTCTCAGGCAAACATATGGGAATAGGAATAATAGTTCTTTATTAGGAAAATTAAAAATAAAAATGCAATAGTACAAAAAAAAAGAAAACAAGCCACTGACAGAGTCAGAATACAACTGACACACTGTGGGTCAAGGTGGTGGCTCAGCCCCATCCCAGGGTGGCTCAGCCCTCCTGCAGTGCCAGCTGTGCTTCTGCTGGAGCAGGATCCTGCACAAGGCGGGAGTTTTCCTCTGGAGCTCCAGGGCTGGGGGAGATGGGCCTGGGCTCCTCTGGGAATGCAGGGGGAAGAAAGCTGCTCCTCTGGGAATGCAGTGGGAAAGAAGCTGCTCCTCTGGGGATGCAGGGGGAAGAAAGCTGCTTCTCTGGGAATGCAGGGGGCAAAGGCTGCTGTGGGGTTCCAAAGGCAGATTGGATCCAGGTAGGAATGCTTGGTTCCTTCCCTGGGCGCAGCATCTCCCCATGGATGATGAAATTTTCTCAGCCATGCAGGGACACTCAGTGGCCATGAACAGCAGAGATCTCCTGCAGGGAGGATTGGTTGTGGAAGAGATAAAGAAAACTGCCCCACCTGGTTTTAACTGGTTGCCCAATTAACAGAAGATAACTACCCCACTATTTTACAGATGGCAATAAGATACACACCCTCAGCCACATGCTGCAACTTAAGTCAAGCTGTGGCTGCTCCATCCCTGGAAGTGTCCAAAGCCAGGTTGGACAGGGCTTGGAGCACTCTGGGATAGTGGAAAGTGTCCCTGCCCATGGCAGGGGTGAAACTGGACGGTGTTTAAGGTCCTTTCCCACCCAAACCATTCCATGATTGTATTCTATGATTCTCATGTGGTTGAAATTGTCCCTGCTCCTGTCAGGGGGTTGGATCCTGCCTGTGGTGGGTAGGCCCTGGCTGGACACTGGGTGCCCCTAAAGCCACTCTGTCACTCCCCTCTGCTGGACAGGAGACAGAAAATAGAGCTAAAGGCTCATGGCCGGAGATAAGGACAGGGAGGTGTCACTCAGCAAGGACCATCATGGGCAAAACAGACTCCACACGGGGAAATGAGATAATTTATTACAAATCAGATCAGAAATAAAACCAAATCATAAAGCACCTTCCCCCTACCACTCCCTTCTTTTTGGGCTCAACTTCACTCCTCAATCCTCCATCTCCTCCCCTCCAGCAATGCAGGGGGATGAGGAATAGGGGTTACAGTCAGGTCATCACACTTCTTTTCTGCTGCTCCTTCCTCCTCCTCAAGGCCAAGATTCCTCAAACTCTTCCCCTGCTCCAGTGCGAGTCCCTCCCACAGGAGACAATCCTACAGGAATTTCTTCAGCATGAGTCTTTCCCAGAGGCTGCAGTTCTTCACAAACTGCTCCAGTGAAGTTCTCTTTCCACAGGGTCAGTTCTTCAGGAACCAGCTGCTCCAGTGTGGGTCCCCCAAAGGTCACATGTCCTGCCAGGAAAGCTCCTCCAGTGTGGGCTCTGCTCTCCACAGGGCCACAGGTCCCTGCCAGGACCCTGCTACTGCATGGGCTTCACACAGGGCATCTCCTGGGCATCCCCCTGCTCCAGCCTGGGCTCCTCCAGGAGCTGCGGGTGTATCTCTGCACCCCCATGCCCTCAATGGGCTGGAGGGGCACAGCTGCCTCACCATGGGCTGCAAGAGGAATCTCAGACCTGGAGCCTGGAGCAGCTTCTGCTCCTCCTTCTCCTCTGACCTGGGGATCTGCCGAGCTCTTCCTCTCACTGTTCCCACTCCTCTCTGACTGCTGTTCTGCAGGTGAATATTTTTCCCAGCTTCTTATCTCTGTTTTCCCAGAGGTGCTGCCACCATCATTACTGGGCTCAGCCTTGGCCACAAGCAGACCTCTGGCATTGGCTCTGCTGAACATGGGGGAAGCTTCCAGCTTCTCACAGAACCCAGCCTTGTAGCCCCTCACTACCAAAACCTGTCCATGCAAAGCCTGTGTCATGCCCTGCAAAGGTCCCTTCCAACCCAAATCTCATGATTCCATGGCACAGCCCAGGCACATTTCAGCACAGTCAGTACCTGCCAGGTGGCTGTGATGTCTCAGCCTTTGGAGCCTTTTGATTCCTCCACTTGCTCTCTGGAGCTCACATGTGACATTCTGCCATTGACAGTGGTAGCACAGATGAGAGCTGGTGGTGGGCGCAGTGTGTGTAGCAGAGATGTGATTCCATGACCTGTCCTGCTTCCAGGGAAAGCTCAGGGCTGTGTGTGCCTGTGGAGAATCACAGAATTGCAGAATGGTCTGGCTTGGAAAGCACCATAAACATCATCCAGTTCCATGCCCCTAAAGCGTTAAAGCTGCACCATTCCAGCCCAAAATTCCAGTCCAGCCCAGCTGAGCTTTTCCCAGAGTACAGCTATTGATTTCTCACAGCAGACTCAGGTGAAGTCTCACCTTTCCCTGTTCCCAGCTTTCCAAAGCTGAGGTGTTTGTGTTCACAGGCTGTGTTGCTCACTTGAGGAACTCAGTAGCAAGAGCAACAAAACAGTAATGGGCTGGAAAAACACAGCAAGGACCCCCGTGGTGAATCTGCTGGGTCTCCAGACAAGCAAATTCACACTCTGCAGAGGACACAGCATTGGCTTCAAGGCTAAACCAGCCCATTCCCACAGGGCTTCTGCTGTCCTAAACCCATATCCTTCTGGTTAGACACTCCTCCCCTCCCCCGGGAGTTCTTGGTGAGAAAAATATTTCCATCTGTCATCAGGAGGTTGCCTGAATTGTTGGTAACTTAATAAATGGAGGAAAGAGTCAGCTCAGACTGTTACAAATCTGAAGTCTTCATGTGTGGAGTCAGGCTGGCAGAGCTGGGGGTGTTCAGCCTGGAGATGAGGAGGCTCCAGCGAGACCTTAAAGCCCCTTCCAGTGCTTAAAGAGCCTCCAGGAGAGCTGGAGAGGGACTTGGGTCAAGGGCCTGGATTGAAAGGACAAGGGAGAATGGCTTCCCACTGTCAGAGTAGATGGGATATTGGGATGAAATTAGTGGGGAGGCCCTGGCACAGGGTGCCCAGAGCAACTGTGGCTGCCCCTGGACCCCTGGAATTGCTCAAGGCAGGAGTGGAAGGTGTCACTGCCCATGATGGGGAGTGGGAACAAGATGAACTTTAAGGTCCCTTCCAGCCAAACCATCCTGTGATTCTAGACTGAACATAGCTAAGAAAAGGTTAAGCAGTGACTTGATTGTGTTCTCCAGTGGAGATTCTGATGTTAGAGGACATTTGTTTTAACAACAGAAACACCAGTTCCAACAGCCAGGAGGGGGAAGGAGGCAAATCCAGGCTGACACAAAAAGCAGGAAAAGCTCATTGAATCCACTTTAACTCCATCAAAATTAAGTGTCTGTCTCAGCTTGACCATCTCCCACAGTAATTTCTGCATTAAAAGAAAAGGTTCCTGCCACAACATGGAATTGCAGAGGATAAGCTGCCGGTTGTGTCCCCTCCCCGTCCGTGTCGTGTTACACTGTCACTGGTTTGACTCAGAGACGAACTCTCCGGTTTGGCTCATGTAACGCCAGACACAAAAAGAGCTCATTCATCAACGGGATCCCAAGATGCTCTTGCAACATCACGGGGAAAAGCTGCTGCTTTGCCAAGTTTAGACGGGGACTTGATTCTCATCTCTGTACACTGGGCTCAGACATGTCTTAACAGATCAAAGAATTGTCATAGATAAGGGCAAACACTCTCATATTAGATAAAAGCAGTTCCTACCTTGTGAGGTTAATGAATGTAAACACACACTTTAAAAAATCACTTCTAAAAAAATAAGAAATCAATGTCTTAAGACAAACAGGTCTGAGGAGAATCTTTCATCCTCTCCTGCTCATGGGACACTTATTCTCCCCTCCCCCCCTTCCAGAGGCATTCATAGACAGCTGGGTAAGGAGCCTGGGTAGGGCTGTGTCACTGGAACCACATGCATTGCCCCATGTTCCTTCAGGCAGGATGCAAAATTTCACTGCCTGTCTCATCGAAGCTGCACAGGGGATTTTCAAAAATTCAGAGATCACTTTTGCCAGTGATATAGTTTTTAGGACTGTGCCCTCAGCTCCTGGGCACTGGGAACAGCATCTCCATTACCAGTTCAGTATTTGTCCAGTTAAAAGTGACGGCTG